CTCTAATTCAAACTAGTCATAAAATACCCTAATTCAAACTAATCCTAAAATTGCACAAATTCATTCAAATCACTAATATTTCCTAACAAAAATTAACAATCAATAAACACAAATTCAATAAATTAATTAGAATTAGGTATCCAAAAAAATTTAAAAAAATTGATGAATTATTATACCATATACTTAAAGGATAAAGATAGATTGAAGAGAGGAGGAGAAGATGACAGTGGCGGCGGTTGGTTCGGCAGTAATGGAGAAGCAGGCGGTGGCTGGCTTGCAGTGGGTCTAGCTACAGCAGTGACGCAGTGGTGGCGGTTAGGAGTGGAGAGAAGGAGGAGAGTTTTCAGAAATGGGGAAATGGGGGGAAATCGTGTTTATGTGTTATATATCTAATGAAAAGCGACGAACACTGTCTCTATGTCCATCACTTTTTTTAAAAATAGTTGACCAAAAACTGACAGACTAAGAGACACTATCCATCACTTATTAAACAGAGTTGACCAAGTATTTGGCCAAGAAGTGATGGATATAAAAAAATAATATCTTTAAAATTAATTAAAAATGAAGGACCGTGTGGATAATATTTTAGTTTAAATAATCATTTTTAATAAAACCGAAGGACGGCATCAATATATATTGTTTCTTTTAGCGACGTTGTCCGTGATTTTTAGCAGTGGGAAGATCTTGTTGCGCTTCTACCTAACAAAACTCCCAAAGCAATACCACTTGCATTACACTTCACCCCAAATGCTTCCAACCAATCGTTCACTCGAAGGATTTTAAGCATGCATCATCAAAGGATAATTTCATCTCTTTCTCCAACATTTTGCACAACGGGTATGCAACTTTTGAGAAACTATGATGAATCGTCTATAGAATCTTCCATGACACAAGAAACTCCGAATACATTCTACACAAATAGGCGAAGGCAACTTTTCAATTACCTCAATATCTGATTCGTCTACCTTCTTTCCCTTTTATGATTTGTCTACCTCCTTTCCCTTTCAAGAACCAACTTATCTCCTTGCATATGTGTAGTACCGTGCTAAGATTCAACAAACATTCATCAAATGTGTCACCTACCAAAGAGAAATCATCTATGAACACTTTCAAAGTGTCCTAGTGGTACATCAAATGGATGTCAAGAAAAACATTTCTGAATGGTGATTTAGATAAAGAAATCTATATGAATCAACTAGAAGGTTTTGTGATTCCAGGACAAGAGGATAAAGTATGAAAATTGGTAAAGTCCTTGTATGGCATAAAACAAGCACATAAGCAGTGGTATGAAAAATTTAATATCACTTTACCGGATAATGACTTATATGAATTTCTGTGATACTTATGTTTATTCAAAAATGATAGGTGCAGATTGTGTCGTAATAATATCTAGATGACATGTTAATTTTTGGTCCTAATGTAAATGTTATTAATGAGACCAAGAACCTTTTATCTTCTAAATTTTACATGAATGACCTTGGTGAGGCAAATGTGATTTTTGGAGTGAAAATCAAATGAACTACTAATATTTTATCTTTGTGTCAGTCTCATTACATTGAAAAAGTTTGATTGTTTTGATGTAGTTCCAGTAAGAATTCCTTATGATCCAAGCATACACTTGAGGAAGAATAAAAAATTCAGTGTTTTGCAAACTGAATATGCTAAACTAATTGGGAGCATACGTTTCTCATGAACTATACTCAACGTAATATAGCTTATGTTATTAGCAGATTGAGTAGATATACTAATAATCGACATAGTGAATATTGTAATGATCTTTATCGCTAGCTGAAGTATCTACGAGATACTATGAATTTGTGTTTGCATTTTAATAAATATATTGCTTTTTTAGAAGGATTTTGTGATGCAAACTGGGTAACTGAAAATGATGAAGTTAGCTACACTAGTGGTTATGTGCTTATTTTAAGTGTAGGTGTTATTTCGTGAAAGTCATCCAAAAAGACTTGTATAGAATGTTCTACAATGTAATCTAAATTCATTTTTCTTGAGATGGCAGGGAAAGAAATTGAGTGGCTGAGAAATATTTTAGAAAATATGGCATTGTGGGAAAGACAAGCTTCATTAGTCTCTCTTCATTGTGACTCACTAGTAGCAATTGAATTTTCCAAAAATAGTGTATACAATGGAAACATACATATTTGCATCAGACATGGTGAAGTTAAACAATTGTTAAAACTAGGTGTTATTTCCTTGGAATATGTAAGATCCGAAAGAAATTTGGTGGATACTACAACCAAGGGTTTGAGAAGGAAAATTATTCTTGAAACGTCAAGGGGGATGGGTCTAAAGACCATTGATTGAAGTAATTTGATGGACCTGTTAGGCCTCAATGTACACCATAAACTCTATCCCTATGGAGTGAGGTAGTGTTTTATAAGGTTGAACTTATTTTTCTCTTGATGATTCTATATTCTTAATGTGGTATATTTGACATGGACTTGATGGAATCACCTACCTAAGTGTAAAGGTGCGGTCGCCTTTTATGAAAGACTTAGGTCGTTTTCTAGAGCACTCATAGGTAAGACGCAAGGTCTATGTGCATGACCAAAAAGAATTTTGTTTGTATTGTGGATGTTGCTTAAAATTTAAGGATATAGTATGTGTTATGGGGATCTCCATTCATATTCATTAATTTCAAGATTACTTCACTTTGTGATGTATAAGTTTTTGCCTCATTCACTATGTGTTAATTCAAATCGAAAGATATTGATATTTAAGTAGATGTTCCTTCCTTTTGCCAACATTTTGTTCTTAATCATTATATTTGAATTAGTGGGGGATTGTAAAATTAATTACACCTTTATTCATTTTGTATAATGCAAAGAACAATATTTCTGTTTCTTGTAAAATACGTTACAAAGAGAATAACATTTCCATGCCAAAACAAAAAGGAAAGTTTCTGTAGAATGTGGTGTAATGGTCTTTAATTCCATTAGTATTCACAATACGTTATACAAATTGACTCTTAACATTTAAATTCCTCTTTGAGAATCCTATATTAGCCTGGCCTTTTGTGAACAAGAAATAACACACCAACACAATAAAAAAGAACAGAAAAACATTTTCTCCGTTTCTTTTTATCTTATTCTTAGAACTTTTTTGGAGCAATTGGTTTGGGGAAACCTTCAAACTTGGGGTGTGGAACCTTGGGGTATGACCAGCTACAATGATTTACACCTGAGTTGGGCTAAAATCGCTTTCAAGGTTGTGGCTTGCCACGACATAGTGTTTGTGATAAGCTTTTTAGTTCATTGTAATTTATATACAATATCAATATTGTATTATTTTTTTCCTAAGAACAGTTGATGGTGGAAGTGCTCAAAAACATGATATAGTCTTACTTGACTTGAGAATATATCAATGAACTGAAACATTGATAATTTATATTAAAATATTACGTTGAGGTGTGTCTATGTGCACTATCAAAGTAGAGTGCTTACTTGTCAACTAAGATCTACTTTAGTGGATTTATTGTTATATATTATGCCTTTTATTTTTAGTGTAAAAGGAATGGAAAAATCTTCAATTGCACATATAATATGTCGTCTAGAAGATACATTATTTATATTTTACTCCCCAAACGAAAAAGGATGTCGTAATTTGTTATTTTTAAGTTTTTTACTATTCATGAGTGTTGATTATTGTAATATGTGTGATATTATTGTAATATTTGTGGTATTAAATATCTATTACTCTCTCCCTTATTTTTCCTCTATCATTTTGTACAATGAAGAGAAATATTTTCTATCAGCCGCTCTATCGCACTCTTCTTGTAAGTTGTTCTGCATTTTTTCTCTTAATAGTTGGATTATTATTTTTAATTTAGAATTTTTTGGATGAAAGTAGGAATAAAAATTTCAAAGGTGATGATTTTTTTATTTTTTAATTTACAATTTTTGGGATGAAAGGATAAATAAAAAGTGCAAAGGATCGCTAAGGATCACTAAGTGGAGTTCTATACTTTTTTGCTTAGTGGGGTTCATCATTTGATCTAGTTTTTGTTTGTTCTTAGCCCTTTATCGATTAAACTTTTAACAAAATCACTTAAAATTAGTCTAACAATGATGAACCTTCTAAATAGATCTTTTGGTTAGGATAATTTAAATATCAGTGATGCTCCTTTCCTTCTTGAAGAAGACTAGTTTATAATTAAAATAAAAATCCAATGGCTAGATACTTCTTTATGGCAAGAGAGAATGATTTTTTTTCTTAATTTAAATTACCTATTACTATTAGATACAAATGAACTTCTTTTGTTGTTTTTCTATCTCCAGTAACTATAATTTCTTGTAAACCTTTTAGTGGGATTTTTCCTTTTGCAATTTTGTGTATGTGGAAGTTGACTTAATGATTAATTAATTTGATGGATGATCCTTGCTGAGTAGAAAAGAGGGATATTTTGGTATGGGGTGTGCCGTTGAAAATTTAGGCTAATTACTAGCCTAAAGGCAAAAGCAAATCTGAGTTCCAACTTTAATTTTTTTACTTTGAAATGCAAAGTTATTTTTTTAATGAAAAAAATTCTTTATATTATATATATATATATATATATATATATATATATATATATATATATATATATATATATAATGTTAAAAAAAAGAACACTCTTTAATGTTTTTAAACGAACTAAATAATACAAATAAATTGAAAAACACCACATAATTTTATTTTTTTTGTTAAAAAAGGACTTGAAACAAATCTATTATTACTTTAAATGGGGGCTTCAAATTTGGTAACTATGACAGGTTCCTCATTTTTTAAGGCATTGAACCGTCCCTGGGTGGGGGTGGGCATGCATTAGAATGGAGGATCATTTGTCCCACGTGCATGTGCGGTTGTGGTTAGGGAATGCCTTGCGGTGGTTGAACCCTTTTAAGGATAGATTTTCCCTTTAGGTTATCTTGAGTATGATATAAGGAAATTTGATACAAAGTTAATATAACTTATTTAATATGTCAAATTAAATTACTCTATATTCCTCTGAGTGCATTTGATTCTCAGAGAAGTACTCAGTCATATATTCAAAATATATGTAAAAAAGATAATAAGAATGGAAAGTAATGTTCTTGTGAGCATCTTCAACAAGTTAAGCATTAAATTTAATAAATAACACTACTCAATATTATCGGTGCAGATCAGATGGAGAGCAACAATTCTTACGTTGACAACTCGACCTTCGATAGGAATTGAAACCCTGCTAATGTGCCTAGAGATGTAGGCACAGTTGAAAGTATTGTTGGTAATGTACTACTCCATATCGAGGAACAACAGGAAGCCTACCAAAAATTTTATCATGGATACCTTGGTCTATTTCATACACAAAACGTGATTACAGTTAAGTTTCTTCAGTTAACCAACGTTTTTTTGTTTATATTTTCCATGTCTCATCAATTAAACTGTGTTTGTCACTTAATTTTGAAATTAATCATATGCTTTTATTTAATTTAGGTATTTTTTGCTTAAATAAAAAGATACCCACTCAGAAAATATTTTTGAAATTTTTCAATAATTCTTGGTTGAGTTATTCTCAATTGACAATATTCAAAAAATTGTCAGATGCGTAGTATTCAGTTGGTCAACATTTTCCCTATAAATAATACTCCCTAGGTTTTAAAAAGGATGACCTAATTTGACTTTACACAATATTGCGTCAAATTTACCAAAATTTCCTTTAACCTAGTGGTTTTAAAATTTTCACATAAAAAGTGGAAATTGAAGTCTAGCAAACTTGTATGTTTTCCATATTAGAAGTGTTTTTCTATTTTGTTGTGCAATGAGTCTGCTCCTAAATAAGTTCAATATTTCAGAAAAGAGAAGGAGATGATGGGAAGGTAATGCTTTGAAAACACAATAATTTAAAGTTTGATACTTGAATTTCTTTTTATGGATATTTTATCCTGTTACATGGTGTTTTATGTTTTAGGATGTTTTGGAACTCCACACACGTATAAGTGCTAGATTAAGATAATTGGTTTTCCATTAAGCACTAAAGTCCATACATACAAATTTCCCCAGTCAACATGTCTTGACGGCAAGAAGTGTTGCTCCATATGCTTGGTAAGTGACACCTAATTATAGAACCCCCAGCCCGTATCTATAAGATTATTTAAGTTTGCTTCTGACCTTTCCTTTTTTGGGTCATGTTTGTCTCAGAATGACTACTACGACAAGGAAAAACTCATTGAAATCAATTGTGGTCATTTATACCACTTTGGTTGTATTAGAGAGTGGATCAAGCTTAATAACTCTTGCCCTATTTGCAAGAGAGATGCAAGTGCAACAATCAATTAAATTTTTTGTTTGGTGGACTAACTAGTGGAAAGGCGTTATTAAGCTCAAGAGAGTTGAATTAAATCTAAAATTAAGGAACCATTTTAAGGTTGAGGAAACAATGGTCTTTAAGTTTGATATTTTTCTTTCATTTTCGACTAAACTAAGTTTTATCAAGATTTTGTAGGTGAGTATAAGTTGGTACTCATGTTGGTTTGAGTTTTGACATTGAGAAAATTTTGTTCATAATCGATGCTTAACTACAGATTTGTAAAACCTCTTGATTCTGATCTTTGAAGCCTCCCCATATGTTTCTATATAGAAGGTAGGCATTCTATTCAACTAAAAACCAACAACAAAAAAAGTATGTATTGTCATTCAAAATCATCAATAACAAAAATCTCTAGGTTGATTCACTTCTCTGCGGCCATTGTCACGGTGACAACCCTAGAAATCACAAGCACATATTTTGTTGAGAGAGAGAGAGAGAGCCATCAGCGAAGCATCTAGACTTGACATGATTTAAGATCTTCTTATGTAATATACATGATAATTAATTAAAGTATTTGCTTCCTTTTGATTTTATTTTCTCCGTGACCAACATCGAAAATGAACAAGTTATGTCTTTGTCATTTAAAATAGAGATCCATCTCTTTCTCATGGGGTGGATATATTTTTTCCAATCAGCTAAATTATAATAAAAAAATCACCCAATAAGAAAAAGTGACACGTAATAATTAATTTTGTAAAATTAAATAGAGGGAAATTTTAGTTTCAAGGGTATAAGTAGGTCGAAAAGATGAATGAAGAGTATTTTTAAACCTTTTCCTTTGGTTAAACATATTTTTAATCCACATTGCCAGAAACTTTTTTCCATAGTTAGGAACTTTAGTGTTGAGTAAAGAATTTGCTCCACTCATGGCTAAACCTTTTATTTGAGAGAATAAGAAAATGTGATGTTTGATCTCCATATAGAGAGTGTACTTATAGTGATAATGTCACGCCCTGAGAATAAAGTGATCCCTTGGCATGGCAATACTTAGTTGAAAACTAACTCAGACAGATTTAAGTTATAATACTTGGATTTAAAATTTAAACCCTTAAAACTTATTAAGATTCAAACAATCTAAAAATAGTATACACAAAAAATGTCTTAAAGTACTCTGAAAACAATAACAATTTGCAAAATAGTTCCAACAGGAAATACTGAAAGAAACTCAACACTAGATATCTCTAACATCTCGTTACTTGAAACAACTAAATTTAATCTAAGAGACCAATAATAATAATTTTTTTAAATACATAGGGAAATATGGAAAATTTCCAGATTTAAAAGTGAGGTTTTGTCATTTTCAAACGGTCATAACTTCTAGTTAAGGAGGAGTTAGGGTGAGTTCTATATGTGAATGGACAGATCTTTGTAAGATATATATTTCCAACGGCGCCAAGTTTTTGAAATTTTGAGGTTGTATGAGGGATATATGAGTTTTGAAAGTTGGGTTGTTGGACAGAGGAAAGTCCAATCCCGATTTGTTAAAGGTGTTTTTGTCTTTTCCTTACCCAATTATTTAATTTCGTTTGTGGGTAATAAGTTGGGGTCCAAGATGATCCCATTTAGTTTATGCATTTTCAAAACAAGTTAGGGTATTGAGAGAAGATAAAAGAAGAGGATAAAAGAGGAGAAAGGAGGAGAAGAAGAAAGAACGCCAAGAATTGTTGCGTGGATTTCATCGGGGGCGATCCCTTTAAGGTATGTGGAATATTTTTTGTTGGGTTACTTCACCCACACAACAATTTATTTCAATTCAACAAATTTATGGGTTTACTTCATTCTTATAAGTATAATTGTTGTCTTCCGCTGAGTTAAGTAAGTCAAGTCAAGGGTTCGCTCGAGGACAAAAATGGTCACTGAGTGTCTGTCCCACCAAGGGTGTAGGCTCGGGGCGTGACCCTATCTATGAAGCCTCTATAGTTCAGAAGGACTGTCAGGAGAAGATCTATGACACGTCCAAGCTACAAACTGAATTACAAAAGTGAAGTCCTCTAGAATATAAGGAAGGCTCACCAAACTAGGAATAAATGCAAAGTGATCTTAACAAAGAACCTGTTGATGATCCTAATTGATTCTATACACATCATGAAAACATGCAAGTCAAATTACATTGCTAGATTGAATGTGTGAATATGTAATAAATCTGAGGAAAACAGATAATTGAACTAAAGAAGTTGAAGAAAAATACTCAACTAAATGTAAAGAATAAGTAGAGATAAAATAATTTCATATCTTTACAAGTAAATATGCTAAACCAATGTACTATACTAATATAAAATTTTATAATTAAATACTCTTATTAATCTCACGAACAACCATCTCTATAAGCTTTGTGATGATATATTAACCCGTCCACGTTGTCAGAACTATCATGTTCTTTGTCAAGGTATAGAACATACTAAACTCACGGAATCATCTAATAGGTCTTCTTAAAGGGATTAAGGAGTAGCCCATATGACGGTAAGATACTATCCCACAATGTCTACGTGGTTTACAAGAAATGTGAGTTGTTTGAGCTCTATACTCAATTTCTTGTAAGGGTTTCTTTAAGAGGCAACTACACTATACTCAATTTCTTGCAAACTCTAAAAACTCCTTGTATCATTCTGAAAAATAGTACTCTCCTTTTAACATAGAATGAGACATTCGGAATCCTTTCGTTCCCTTAAACTTTTCTCAAAATAGAATTTTAAAATTTAACTTTCTCTTAAACTCATTGTAACCTCTATAAAGTCAATTCAAGAAAGAATACTCATTTTAACAATTCTCAATAATAAAAAAAACAGAAATTATGTATCATGATGGATTGTCAACATGAATAATAACTCAATAATCTTCAAGCATAATATAGTGCAACTTATAATCAATAGTTTAGAATTCATAAATAGTAACTCAACTCATATAAAAGATTCTTGAAGCAATGGTTATAACCCTAGATTTCACTCTTAGTGATGAAATTTAAATGTAGGAAGTGAGAACGAACTCGTTCCATCACTATGAATAACCTTACATACCTTAGGGAACAAAGTTCTTGACGAAATTCGAATATTGGCTTGAAAACCCTAGATTACTCCTCTCGGATCCTTTCTTTAAGACAAGTAACTGTATAATGAATGTAATGAGGTTGATTAGCATTGCCTAAACCCATAATGATGTGAAAAACTGCATTTTGGTTTAGAATATAACTTGACATAAAGGAAAAATATAAGTTAGTTTCTACGGCTCCCTTACTAGGGCCAGTAGAACTTCTTATGGTCCATAGGTGGGTTCGGCAAATCATTCAACAAAATTTTCTTTAACTTTTATTTCCAAGTTCTAAGGTGTTACAATATATTTGAATCTTGGGAACATTCATCTTCCAATGAGATCAAACCAAGCAAGAAATGGGTGGGGGAAGGTATATAGACCCAAAATAATGTGTAAATACATATAAAACTCATGAAATCAACATGTTAAACAAAAGGTACTTTTGGAAGAGTTTGTTACTTGGATTGGAATTGAATTTTGGGGATATAGATGAGGGCATCTAGCTTATATATTGGCATGCCAAGTTGCCTCCTCAATATAATTATTTCTCCATAATATTTTGGCTAATGCATCCTCTTTGGTTCTTGACTTGTAATCAATCAACATATATTCTTGGGATTAAGAAACCTTAATAATTATACTTAAATAAGTGATTGCCATCTTTGTTTTATCTTGACGAAATTAATAGATATGTCTATCTACTAAAAAAGGAAGGGCAAATTAGAGCAGGACAAAAGTTAGTACTGACTCCACTGTTACTAAATTGAGGTATAGTTAATTGATGGTGTAAATAAGTATTAAAAAGAGATCCAAGGATTAGATTTTATTGGAACATCTCACTTCTTTTATGATTATGTTACAACCGTCTTTCTGATATCCTTGAAGCTTGTTAAAAGATAAATAGAAATCAATTCCCTGTTCTCCCGCAATAGTATCTCATTAGACTAAATTTTCATTACTACAATAATAAAAGTATCCAAAAAATAAATTTTAGCAATGAGATATTATTTTATTTAAATAAACCAGAAGAAAATTAACTACAAAAAATAAACAGTAGTACAATACTATTTGCAAATACAATTAATGGATAGACTTGAAATATTATTAGCAAGAGAAGGTATATACGATTTTTACATATGAGATTCATCTTTAATGGACAATAAATTTATGAAAAAAAGATCAAGATGATATATTATATGAATGTGAACGTTTGGATTAATATTTATTGAACTCTTTAAATTCTCAGTAAACAGAATAATAAATGATTAATGTTTGATGACTTGACATATAGTTGTTTATTTATCTTTTATTAGGAGGTGAATTTATTTTGCATAAAATATTATAGATTTAATCTTCAATCAAGGGTATAATGTTATTTAAATTTTATTTTATTTATAGATTTAATAATCCATAAGAATAGTTAGAGAGGAGTTAAAAGATGTTATAAAAATACTAGTAAAATTTAAAAAATCCCATAGTGTAATGCAATAATTACATTCTGTCCCGACAAATTTAGTATTTACAAAAAAATCCCTTAAATTTGTGTAGACGTGATACTTTAGACTCTAGTGATACATGGTAAATGATACATGGTAAGTTTAAACTGTTAAGAAAAAAATGGGAAAAAAACTGTACATTTAATGTTGTTACTAAAACAGATTAATATACAGTAACAGATCATTAATCAGCATAAAATCAGCACGTAATTGGATATTAATTTCAAATTTTGAAAATCAAAGATTATATCATCTATTTTGAAAACATTTTTTATGAACAATCTGTTAAATTTCGAACTACAGTATTTTTATTGTTGTTACAGTAAATTTTTCAAGATGAATACTTCGATTTTGATGAGACATTCCGGAATTTGGGTGAACGAATTGCAGTATGAAAGTTACAAAATCGACGGAATCGTTGTTGGAAATTCAATTTCGTTTTCTAATCTCAAAGCAGCAATTGCAGCCGAGTTGGATATTGATGTATCAAGGAAAAAAATTGAAATTCGATACATTGTAGAAGGTAACTCCTGTCTGATAAAAAACTATATTTTGAACTGAAAATAAATGAGCCTGGATTTTCAGTGTATCCATTATGTATTGACACAATTGAAAAGAATAGTGGTACTGTATATAACTTTGATGGAACAAGTGGAGAAATAACGTGTGTAGAAGGCACAACACATGATACACAGGCTTTGGCAGTGGTTGAAACTAGCTTATTTGATTCACCTAAAAATGCAAAAGTTGGAGTTGCAAATGTTATAATCAATTTAGATATTGTTGATGTGAAGAAAGGTCAGATATATAAGGATAAAGAAACACTTGTATATGTGATGACGAAATATAAGATAAAGAACAACTTCAATTGCAAAGTAAAGAGGTCTAATCAACAAAGGTATGACAGTGTTTTGATATTTTAATGTATCATTTGTT